GTTCCACGTGCCACGACTAATGGATGTCAGTTATCAGTTATCTCCTGTTAAATCCTCTCTCCAAGTTCTCCACAGCCTTAAGCAGGTATTGAACTCTTTGGATCGTGACACTGGATCTAACTAACGCCTTGAGGACATCTGTGTATGAATTTCTGGGTATTATAAATCTAATGTCTTCAACAATCATTTTTTACCAGAGGTCATATTTCAAACTGGAATAGGCGGGTACAAGAGGAGGAGGACAACAACACCCAGAAAACAGTCTGCCTGCCTTATGTGAAAGGGGTTATCAGAGAAAATACAAAAGATCTGCGGTCCATATAACATCAGGACAACCTTCAAAAGCTGGACGTCTCTTCGCAGATATTTCTCCCGAGTAAGACACCCCATAGAGGAGAACATGACTAAATACTCTGCGTACGTTATCCCTTGCAGCTGCGGAAAGAAATAGACAGGCCGCCCCCTTAAGGTAAGCCTTCAAGAATACCAAAAAGCTGTAACACGAAGCGAAGTGGAAAAATCAGGCGTGGCTGACCATATATGGAGAGAAAAAGGAAATCGCCGTCCTCTGTGGAATCAGGTTGAAATCATAGACAAAGAACATCATTGGAAAATTAGTAAACTTAAGGAAGCAGCACAAATGCTACGCCACAAAAATATCCTGAGCAGACCAAGCATAGAAATGAATACAATATGGGAACCAGTAATAAGGTGCGCTAGAGAAAAGAAATAACAACAACAAAAATTGCAATATAAGCTCAATTAAAAAACATGTAATAATAACAGCAAAAATTGCAATAAGAGCACTGATAAAAAATTGGTTGCTGAAGACATTAGGCTTATAATACCCAAAAGTTCATGCACAGATATTCTCAAGGACACATGTCACAGTGGATAAAGGCATTAGTTAGATCCAGTGACAGGACCCAGATACCTGGTTAAGGCGGAGGAGAACTGTGAGAGGCGAATTAACAGGAGATATCTGACATCCATTAGACATGGCACGTGGAACTAGAACAGTCTATCCCAGTAAGCAAAATAAAGAATTTACTTCGACATTCCGAAGAAGGCCGGAGCGTACAACGGCCGAAACGTTGTGATAAATATGGCGACAAAGATGAGGACAATAGTCCGAATAATGTAAATAGTGTACATAATACCTCATCTCAGAAATATAGACAGATACTGAAGGGCCGAAACGTTGTAATAAATATGGCGACAAAGATGAGGACAATAGTCCGAATAATTTAAATAGTGTACATAAGACCTCATCTCAGAAATATAGACAGATACTGAAGAAACTGTTAGCATAGAAATTACATCTAGCCATTCCAGCTGTAAAATCATGAAATCTTGTACTACGCTTAAATTCATAAAGTTTAGGTACCAAATACGAAAGATCCCAAAGCAATTTTCATGAAAATATTTATAGAAAAGGCACAGGGAAGCTACGTTACGGCTATGGGAAAGGCATCGTTACGGCTGTGTTTAGTCGCACGACCCACTGTTCAATATGCGATTCAAATTTTGGCTCTATATCAGATACAGTTAAGCTCTGTAAATATTTCACTAGCTGACCTCATTTGTGAGTAGCAGTTTGTATTTCAGTTTTCGCAGATCATGACTAATGTGTTAAATGCGTGTTTTAATAATGGTTCCACTGTTGTGACTTAGTAACCAGATTAGGTTAAATTGTGGAATTATAAAGCAAAGTCTTTTCACACGACAATAATCTATTCATCTGCATGCCATTAAGCATAATGGCGCAAATTTCAATGAATATCGAATGTTTTCTGTATGGAAACGTTTAATCTTAACATTAAAAAATAATGAATCAACTGATGAGCAACTAAGGAATAATAAATCATCTCTTTACATTGAAGCTGAAATTTTCGCGATGAATTCAATAAAAAATTCCTCTATTTTATGAAAGAAGTCTGGAAAAGGAAATGCATCCTGAAAATGTAGGGTTCATCTCACATACATATTATTTCAATTGGATCCATCATGGTGAAAACATTAATGAACGTTATATTATCTAAGATCTCATCGTTTTATGAAAGTCAGCTCTTCAGGAACCAATTTGGTAAGTGATACAATGATGGCATGTATGTCATCAAACAACCCCAAGAAATGGCTTACCTACCTAATAGGAAACTATACCTACTTTTCTACTAACCTCACAGTAACATATGATCATGTCAAAACTTCCTCTTATCATTCATTAGAAACTAGCTTCCTAGCTCCGAATCTACTGAATTCATTGATCTAATAGATTGAGTTGTGCCGATCTACAGAATCTTACATACCTGGCGAGGATCCCAATACGGAAACATTTCAAACCTCATCAGGAGAACGATAAAGAGGAAATGAGAGACCCGGTATATTTAATCTATTCGGAGACAATATCCTGCTTATTTACCTTGATTTGAGGAGATGGACACTGATCATTTACGCTTTCCATACAACATCTCAAAACAGTCTATCGATAAAAGACAACGATCCTGCTTTCCCTCTCAAAGCCAATGTACGGATGATGAAGGGCGCTATAAGTATTAATAATTGCGATGAGAATGATCTTAAACAGAAAACCAGCATCCTCTATGAAGTATTCCAAGAAATGGTATGATCTGAAAGAAAAGGAAATACAAAGAAATGAGAGCCTCAGTTTATTTAATCTCTTCTTAGATTATGCCCTGTGCAAACACAGCCCTGTGATGAGACAGACACTCATCATTTAAGCATTCCATAACACATTCAAAACAAGTCTACCACTGGAAGACAATGATCCTGATTCTCCCGAACTAAGGTAAATGATGATCTATGTTGATGACATAGGTATTCTTAGTTTTGGTAAGAATAATCTTGAACAGAAAATCAGCATCCTCTATTAAATATTCCAGCATCCTCCATCAAATATTCCAACAAACAGAACTCACAAAAAACCTTTACAAAACAGAAACTATAATCTGGAATTAGAATAAAAGCATTGATGTCACCTATAAATCCATCATAAATATTTAAGATGTATGAATTTATAAACGCTAAACGCTTCAGATACTTGGGCGTATTGATAAGCTATAAGGAATTAAGTAGAGAAGAAAAGAAAATTGAGCGTAGAATAAATTGTGTCAGAATTAGGTTCACCCAACACTGCAAATTGCTACGAAACCAAAATATCAACCGAGAAACTTTAGTTATGTTCATAAATAACTTTGTCAAATCGAGTTTCTCATCCATGTTGAAAAAAAGGCTTTGAGCGAGTGAGGCCTGGGGTTCTTGGCAAATATCACCTTTCTTTGAATATTGTGGACTGGCGCTACAGATTCACAAACAAAGAACTGTACCAAATAATAGAAAGCTTGAAGACAGCCAACAGTAGCAACAACTTATATGGATAGCACTTTTCACTTGAAGAAAAAATAATGACATAATCAAGATGTTGACATTGCACACGACTTCAAATAAAAGGTTAGGGAAGACCAATAACAACTACTGGACTTGTAGAACCTATGTTTCTGAAAAATTGTTTTAAGAGAAGAAAAAAATATTTCAACCGAAAGTAATACTGGCTACTCGGTCAATGAATGCCAAATATTTCCTTGTAGGGAAACAGCAATTATTACCTTTACTATTATAACGTAATGTGGAATATTACTTTTTGTTTAAAAATCAGATACGCTTACAAAGTGACTATTATCAAATTTTATCTAATCAGCTTATATCCCTTTGTCTATTAATTAGACCCACTCGAAAAGTAATGGCTCATCTAATATAAAATGTTATTCTGAATTCTGAGGTGTTTTTTCTTTTCTTTTCTTTTTCGCAATAAAAATTTTTACCCATAATTCTCTTTCAAAATGGGAGCACCTCTTGAAACAAGTAGTAAGTAAAGAGCTGTCATAGAATATTTGTTTTCTGTTGCAATCATTCAAAGGTGATTATTGAACATTTATAGATAACGCTTCACTTGATATTAGCGGAATAATACGGTTCAATAGAATAAAGGTCAACCGTAGAAAGAAAGATGAAACTAAAAGAGACAGACTCCACAGTGAATTAATATTGTTTGGAGTAATGTCCAGTTGCATCACAACCAATTCTTATTCCATCGTATGCTTTTCTCTTTCTTTTTATGTTCCGTGTCGCCCCAGGACGTAGGCAATCGTCCTGTCCCTTCTAGCTTTTAATAGGTATTGACTTTCTCTTATTCCCCTAAACGCTGTTCCGCCATCCATTTACTCAAGCTCACTAAGTATATTGTGAATTGTTTTTGTCTGTCTCTCTTGCCAGGCAACAACATACATCTATTTAGTCTCATGGGAAAGGAACTTAATGAACAACAACAACGCGTTCGTGTCTTGACGAGGTGAAAGAGGGTTATTCGCACAGGACTAAGAATACAACTAGTAAACTTTTACGATACGTGCCGTTATTCAAATGGGGAAGGAGACTATGTTGAGAACAGGATTTCGATTCCTGGAACTTTTGCATTCATTCTAATGGGATTTGATTCATTCTACCGCCAGATCGGTTAGAATAAATAAAAACAAAGAAACGGACAATCATTAATTTTTACCTATGCTTGTATGTCCTCTTTCTTTCACTTTTCTCCTCTCATTATCTATCTATCTATCTATCTATCTATCTATCTATCTATCTATCTATCTAGGCATGCTCTCTGTCTGTCTGTTTGCTTGTCTGTATATCTGATTATGTTCATTGCTATAGTAATTCTAGGTGCATGGTTCCTCGAGTAATATCATTATAATAGATAGATAATGAACAGTATCTCTCTCTCTCTCTCTCTCTCACACACACACACACACACACACACACACATATATATATATATATATATATATATATATATTACATGAACGGACTGACAGATATATATATATATAAAGTCCGACAATTTATTTATTAAAGACATTTTTATGTTTAACGTTCGAACCTGCATCCTATAGCGTAAATGACGTTAAATATAAAAAAGAACGTTAAACATAAAATTGTCTTAAAAATATATATATAGAGAGAGAGATAGATAGATAGATAGATAGATAGATAGATAGATAGATAGATATGAACAAATAGGGATAGATAGATAGATAGATAGATAGATAGATAGATAGATAGATATGAACAAAGAGAGACAGATAGATAGATAGGTAGATAATGAGACTCACATAGATAGAGACACAGATAGATATGAACAAAGACAGACAGACAGATAGATAGATAGATAGATAGATAGATAGATAGATATAGACAATATAGATAGATAGATAGATAGATAGATAGATAGATAGATAGATAGATAACGAACAGACTCACATTAATAGATTGAATACTTCAAGTTAATGGATACATGTATGCGTATTGATATGCAGGTTGAGCTAAGGCCTCATTTGACTCATAAAATTTCTTCGTAATATCAAGAGTAATAAACAATGACAAAGCTGCATTTACAGCAAAATATGCATTCATTGCTAATTTTTAGAAACTGACTCAGTAAAACCTGTTCATGCGTTAATGCGTCCATTTAATGAGCGACACTAACCAAATATCTCAACCCAAACGGCTATTTAATCACAACATATAAATCTTCAATTTCACTTGCGAACAAAGTGTCTTTTTTGCCCCCTTTTTTTTTCTTACATCAAGTGGGTGCGTTTGTACAAAGTTGGTTTCTGTCAGAGATATTTCAAATTTTTTCAAGGATTAACGTAACCTAATCCACCGGCTTGCACTTAAAAATGTGTTAGCAAATGTTGCACGTGCCAAGCACTCAAGCCGACTAACCATTTCACACGCATACACACACATACATTCGGAAAGTTGCACGTAAAGCGATGTATAAAAGAACGTCCATGGGAAGATAGAATATCTGTTATTTATCATTCAATCAGATATTTCTCTCTTTATGATCCTGTACGGATGAACTAGAGATAAGTCAATGCCGACTGCGCAGCAAAATTAAATTCGAGTTTTTTCAGAGGATTTATGAGTTCGATTCTCACTGGGTGTCACCTCATCGAATCTTACAAATGACTGGATCAATTTTGGGTTCGCTGCATATCTATGGCAGGTGTCAAATTTCTACCCGACGTCATTTGTCGCTGTTTTGAACCCGGTGCACGCATCATATTGGATAACGAATTATATTCCATTTTATGAGCACTTCCTTACAGCCAAAACGTCGCAACCTTCTGCTGCTCTATTTCCACGGAAAGTCTTCAGAAAAACTACATTCATTAATTCCCCCAGTTCTATCCTTCACGGCTAAGACCAGCCATGAGCCGCATATCAGGGCTAACTATCCTCATCCACTTCGTATTCAACTGGTGAAATGCATGTTACACCTGAGCAGCTTCTTCCCACAAATCAACACTTTGTGGAACTGACTCCCAAGCGGATGCTTCCTCGGTCAATACAATCTTAGCCTACAAATCTTATCCCCTTAAACTATACCTCTTACTCTACCACGAGTGGCTTTTGGGCCTCGTACAGTGTGAACAAGGTAAAAAGATGTGTGTAAACTATATTCGCTTACCAGACAAAACTAAATATAAAAAATGTTTTCATTATTACATTATTCGGACTATTCTCCTCATCTTTGTTGCCATATTTATTAGAACGTTTCGGCCGTTGTACGCTCCGGTCTTCTTCAGGTGGTTGGAATGTTGAACTGAACCCATTATTTCGCTCACTGGTGTAGACTGTTCTAGTTCAACGTGTCATGTTTAATGGATGTCAGTTATCAGTTATCTCCTGTTAATTTCCCTCTGAAAGTTCTCCACTGCCTTAACCGGGTATTGAACTCACACTCTTTGGGTCCTGTCACTGGATCTAACTAACTTGAGGACACATGGCACAGTCTATATTTCTGAATGCTTTCTTTTATATACTGCCCCCATTCAGGATCATGGCACTGGCACTCCACGGCTTCCTGTCTTCTAAGCAACTCTAGCCTTCTTATCCTCCCCTCCTAGCTTCCATTCTACCATCCATTTACACAAATACGTTAAGTTACTTTCCGTTTTTCACTGCACACTTTGCCTTCATTTGTCATGTGTCATTTGAGTGTTAAATTCTCCAATCCTTATTTCCTCATTATGCGTCCACAAAATGTAAACTCTCCTTTTTTTATTATCAGCAATATTTTCCTTTTAGTTCAGAATGTCCTTTCCACATTCCGCAGTCGGTCTTCTTAACCTCCGCCTATGGAACCATATCTCTTTTGCTTCACGTCTCCTCTTTACCTTTGAGAGAATTGCCCAGATCTCATGGCATATACGAGGACAAATATTACTTTACAATTCATCACATTTCTCTTTTTTTCCAACGACATTTTCCTATCTCTCAAGCCTTTGCTTATTTTCTGGAAGTCTACTTTCGCGAAACCACAATGCCTTTTCAGATTCAAGTGCCACATTCCACTTGTTGTAGTTGCTAGATTCTGAAACCCGCCACACCTTCGGCTATCCCTCTTTTCTTGCAACTAATGGTTAGTCCTTTCTTCTTGCTTTCCTTTGATCAATAAGAAAAAAAAAAACGATTGAGCTTTGTTGCAAAATGAACATACAGCCATATCAAGCTATTTACGTAGAGTAGGTTAGTCTGGCATAAGTTCGTAGAGAGCCACTGGATTAAGATTGGATTCAATAACAGTATTTTTTTTACAATGTTTAATTACCACTTCTCGACGTTCAAGTGTCTTTATTTAGCGTCATTTTGCTTATATCTACCAAGGTGAATTCACTTAATTTTCTTCACCGATTATCTTGCCAATGTGGTTTCTTTATTTACTTTGTCTGTCTTTAAGCTGGTAACTATATTCTCCCCTCAAGACTGAGAGGAGTATTAGGGTTAGGGTGCGCGCAGGTATAAAATATGACAACTGTCAGCGAGGAAAATAAAAAAAAAACAACTAAGCAGGTTAAATTCAAATTCTATTCGAGGTTGTTGCGTTCATTACGCGCCATTGCTGTTGGAAAGCGATTCCTTCTTGCCATGAGTAAATATTAGCCTTAGTAACAAAACACGTCGAGAAGGACGACACGTGATTCAATAGAATAGTAGAATACAGTGAAAACGACACCATTGTTCTTTCCAAGAATCGCGGTAAATCACAGATATTAAAGAAAACTGTTAACTGCTTACAGCCTGAGTGTACTTGGTATGAAAAACGAACTGACATTCTGTAAGCGAAAGTGTGTAAAAATTGAACTATACAAATCTTTTCTTATTTATATAGATTAGTCTGGCGTCACTCAGTCAGGATTACATTCACCAAAGTTGTTCTGATCTATGAGATGAGCTTGTTAAACACTCTTCTACACATGTAGACCAATGAGATAAATTAAAAATATTTAGTTATGAAGATTGATGAAAGTTTGTCTATTCTTTGATCAACAGTATAAATTAATTTTTTTTTTACAGAGATGTATAAGTTTAATATTAGGTTGAGTCATAAGTAATTTCCGTTTCGGGGAACGAATTGTAATGAGTAATTTATCATCCTAACGACTAAACATAGGTGTGGCAGTTGAGAATAAATATTAAGTACACTAACCTGCAACAATGTTCAACGTAAAAGACGGTGGGTTGACAAAGATGAATCCCTACAATCGACCTCAAAATTTGGATTCCGTGGAAGGGGTTTAATGGTATCATCGTGATATTATTATTCATTTAGATTTCTTAAACCGCAATAAAACAATAAATCCACGTTTATACGTTCAGCTGCTGCAACGTGTCGATAAAGGTTTTGTGGAAAAGCGACGTGCGTTCGTCAATAGACCATGTTTATAAACATCTTTTGAAGACATTGGCCTTCTGTTCTGCCGTCTTTTCGGGGATCATTGGTGTATCCCTTTAGGTTTGGGAAGTATCTAAATCTCATATTATCTACAGCTCTCTTAAAAAACTTCTGGATTTATTTGAAAATCCTTTCTGTAACCAAATATAACGTCAAGTGTCTTATCACAGTCATGTAATTTAAGATTCCAGTTATCTAAACGTTCACAAAAATCTGCAACCCTCCCAAAAGCAAAACATTGTAAATAATAGTGAACATTGAATAAATTGTAAATATACTTTATTATTTGAATTGTACTTTATTTTTCAATAAGATAAAGAAAAACGAAAATTATTTAAGACACAACATAATCAGTCAGTAATGTGTGATACACGCTTAGGCGATCATATATCTTTCGATACATGACTGACAACGCATATTGTTTCCCGCAGTAGGTTGCCATTTCTTTCTGCCGTAGACCAGTTGCCATCCAAAGCTATAGAACCCGGTCTGTCCTGCTATTTACCCATAGGGAGAAGAGGATCCATACCTTTCCCAATGGTATTAGCACGTAAGTGAATTCAATGGATTCGACTGGGATTCGAACTCCGATTCCTCAATCCGATACGCTATCCATTACTCCACCGTGCCTCCGCAGCGTAATAAGTATTCATAAGTGATATGTTTTACCTATTATACAACGACTTTTCTTTGAAACTATATCGTCTGCTATATTTTCCATCTTTACTACTGCAGCAAGGTGCGTATACAAACTCGAAATAATTATTTAAAAATAAAACCTCATAGGTTTACTGCTTTATGCGTTCGGTGCAAACCTGAAAGTATATGATCCTTACACTAGTGAAATGAACTTGATCATCATTGGTTCGATGGTAGACCTACCTGCAACCTGTGTTTCGCAGACGATATTAACGTTATGGCGGGAAGTAACATTGAGTTTCAAGACCTGAGCATCAAACTTGTTGAAAGAGCCGGCGCATATGGTATGTAACTTAACGGAGAGAATTTCAATGTAATGGGAATAGCATAACCTACGCCAGTGTCCAAATCACTATGGGAGAGTTCGGCTTCAAATACTTGGGAGGAACCCGGTCACAAAAACGTTATCTGCAACGCAGATATCGGCACACGGATCACAACAGTCTTAGCAACGATATTGGAAGAGAAACATCAGCTTTCATACCAAATTTCAAACTGAACTGGAATCCTCATTTATGAATGGGAGACATTGACATTCCTGGTCGAAACAGAAAATAGGATCCAGGCGTTCGAGAATTAAATGTCTGAGAAAGGCTACCAGGAGCACAAAACCAATGACTCTGTACGGTGCAATGTCAAACGTCTCGTAGGCCAACAAAAATATTTCCTCGCCATTATTAAGCGGATGAGATGGCATGGTTTGGCCCCGTCATACAGTATAATAGCTTCTACAAAACTGTCATGCAAGGCACGGTTGAAGGCTGGCGTAAGCGAGGACATCGACGCAAAAGCTGGTCCGACAATATCAA